TTTTTTTTTTTTTTTTTTTTTTTTTTTTTTTTTTACTTTTTCACGTTGGCAAACTGCTTTGGAGAGAAACTGCTTCAGCTCTTTGGCATTGCAAGGGCTGTTGTGGAGGCTGCAGCTTCCGAGGATATGAAGAGTTCCAGAAGGAAGGCTCTGCAGGATCAGGGATGCACCAGGCCGGTCACTACAAGGCAGGAGACGGCTTCTTCCCTGAGGCACAGGAAGGGTCCCTGGGCAGGGAGAGGGGCTGCAAGAGCAGATCTGCCCCAGTGCCGCCTCCTCTGCTGCGGGGAGAGGCTCCTACGGCTTCTCAGTTCCAAAGCCAGAACCCAGCTCTCACTTAACTGGTGTCATGTGAAAGTGTCTTGACCCGTTGCGCTACACAGCAGGGAGGAGGAGGAAGAGGTCCTGTGGTTAAATTCCCTGTGCCTGGAGTGTCCTGGGGACAGTCACGCCTCCGCTCCGCTGTGCCCCGGCCTCAGGCTGAGCGGCCGCTGCCGTGGCTTCAGGAACCGGCCGCCGTCCTGCTTCCTCCCAAGGCCCCGAGGTCTCTGTCCCTCCGCTCACCCGGCGCCGTCCCTGCCCGGGGAACAGGAACCATGATGGCAACACTGGCTCCGAGTGTGGAGCAGCGAGTTGTCTGGGCGTGGGGAATGTCAGAGGAGCCGCAGAACGGGGCGTCGGGCTGGGAGGAGGGAAGGAGCCGCGTTCAGAGGAGCCCAAGTAGCACCAGGTCTGCGGGAGACGTGCCGGTCACCATTTCACGGCTCCATAGGGGTGCTGAGCACCTCCACCGCGTTTTGCAGAAGTGCTTTCCAGCCCTCACTCCGCTCCCACGTCCAGACACCAACGAACGCCGCTTGGTTCAGGGAGGGGGCTCCTGCACCGCTGACCTCCGGCGCTGCGCACCACAGGTCAGGCCCTCGTCTCTGACTTTGTTGGGCCGGGGGGTTGGATGGTGTGCAGGGGGACACAGCCTGGGGCCCCTGGGCTGAGGCACCCAGGAGGGAGCTTGGTGGGGAGGCTCGGCGGGGCTGCATCGTCTGCCGGCACTGCTGGGCCGCGAGTGGAGCTGGTGCCGCCGTCCAGCTGCGAGGTATCTGCGCCCACAGGAAGGTGCTGGAAATCCCCGCGGCAGCGGGCGCGGGCGCGGGGCCTTTCCTGAGGAGGAACTTGTCAGAGCGAGGGGGAGGGCAGCGGGCCGGCGAGGCCTGACCACGGGATGTGCCCAACCGCGCCGGGCTGGGTGTCGAGGGCAGCCGCGGCCTCTCACGCTGCCGGAGGGTTCTGCCTGTCCCGGGGCTTCCCGGGAGTGAAACAGGAACAAAAGTGTCCGGGGCAGAGGTGACAGCGGGGTAGTAGGAGCCCTGTCCCGGGGATGGGCTCAGTCCCTCCCAGTCCTCCGTCTCCTCCAGGTTTCTGCTGACTCAGCGTAAGCTTTCCTCCAGTCTGGTTCCTTGCTCATGAACAAGTCTCGTAAAATCCTGACATCACATTTTTCTAGGGATTTTTCTAGGGATTACCACTCCCATGTCCCAGATTTTAAAGGAAGAGCTCGTCCTCTGGCAAAGCCTTTCATCTCCCACTCATACATTTAACGCAGTCAAAATAGGTGGTATTCAAGGATCTTATTATCTGCTGGCGGGGAAGAGGCTGGCCCCGAGCCAGCTCCTTGGGAAGAGATGCCAACGCTACACAACTATCGCTAACCAGCCTCAGTCAGGAGCCTTGTCAGCAAAGTGGCCGTGGACCTGGCTTGCCTACTTAGGGAAGCTCAAGGCAGCTAACTCGCTCTTAAAAGTGGGCTAATTAAACCTCATTTATAAATGCCTATATGGGACCACTTATGTTAATTAAAGGCAATTCAAATGGCCTTATTTAGTAGCATTTGGGAGTAAATGAAACTGAATTAAGGCCACTTTAATTCTGAATGAGAGTTTTATGCAGAATTTTAACGCTCTTTAATCCACTTTAGATTTAGTTACTTCAATTTAACTTTCTTAAGAGTCCTGTGTGGACAAGCCCCGAGCAACTAGGGGCAGGGGCCTGCTCGGAGCCTGAGCTCGAGCCTGCAGCCGCCCTGGGATCTTGGTGTTCTGACAGCTCTGGCTTCCTAAATCCCCTGCTCATCTGGGGAGTGACCTAAAGGCTCCTCTCACTGCACTTACCAACTCGTGCTCCTGGGTGATGCGAGTGATACCAGGTAGATTAAGTGAATCCTCCCATCACCTGTGACACAGAGATTCAAGAGACTGGCAGAGCTGCATCTGAATTTTCTTCTGCAGTGAGCAGGATAATTTATTACGCAGTACTCAGCACGTCTAGAAATTAAAGAAAAAAAAAAACAAGTGATGATTTATGCCCTTTCTTTGGAAGAGGGTCACCATGCCTCATGAGGAAAGCCGAGCAATAATGCTGGAAGGAAAGCTTAGCAACATCCCTTTATAGCAGTTTGCTTTTATAGCTGCAACCACTCACATTTATGGAGATGCTGGCTGAGAGACCATCTGCTGCTCTCGCTTGCCTCAATAAAGACGTCTCTGATGGCAGCATCAGAGCTGGTTGCCAGAGTGAGATCCCATCAGCTGCCGCGTCGCTCCAGTTTGGAAGAGCCTCAGCGGAGGCACCGCTGGGGAGGTCGGTCGCTCCCCTCTCACACCCCAGCTCTGCTCCGCGCACACGCGCTGGGCCGGGGCTCCTGGCCTCCCGACCCTGGTGATGCGAGAGGAGAAAAGGTGGCTCGAGTCTCCTCAGAAAAAAGGAAAAGGTAGGAAGGGGGAACTATGATGCTAAAGGAGGATGTGCAGAATGTACTGACTCTGTTTGAGCCTGGATGCCCCCAGTGCTCGTCACACCGCTAGCTGGCTTCCCGGTGCTGCCTTCATCCACCAGCACAGGATTCCTCTGCCGCTGCAGACAAATGGTCTGATCTTCTCTCTGAAATATTCTCTCTTAAACTGACTCCCTGGCTTTTAAGGAGATCCTCATAGCACGCTGCAGAATAACTTACTCCCTGCGTAGCCCGAGGGCTCCTTGCAGAGTAGACGTGGTTTGGAGGCAGTCGCTCGCTCTGGAGCAGAGCACACGCTCCCGAGGGGCCACGCCAGCGTGATTTATTTGGCTGTCGCTGCGGCTGCCCGTGTGCCTGACTAGACACGGCCTTCGGTACTGCTCTGAGTAAGCAGCCTTGATCCCTACCTTTGGTCTTGGTGAATGATGGCATTAAGTTATAGGAGGATGGGCTTATTTCCTCAGTGACAGATGGATCGGGCACACCCTGACTATTTTTTTTCCCTTGTGTTTCCGTCAAGGAAAAGAGCCATCCTTTCAAGGTCTTTTTGACTATAAATCTGTTATTGCTGGGGGTTGAAGTGGCAGAAATCGCAGAAGCCTCACCGTGTGCGTGAGCCTGTGAGGTCTCGGCTGACCAGCCGGGGATGGTGACCCTGCAAGGGGGCTGCCGGACGAACCCTCCCCAACTGTCCCACGCCAGGGCTGCGCAGCTCGGCGGGCACCTCCTGGGGTCTCCCAGCAAAGGTGAAATCCCACACCAGCCAGGTGCTGACAACCCATGGCTGGTGTCGGCTCCCACGAAACCCTGTTGCCAACCATCCTGGCTTGGCTGGGCCTGGGAAAGTGGTTCCCCCACATCCCTGCACCAAAGCAGGGAGGACTGAGCCCACTGCCCCTGCCCAGGATGCATCAGTGGTTCACTATCTGGGCGATTCCCCCCTGCTCTGATCATCTCGTCCCAGCAGACGTGTTTTCCAGAAGTACCCAGAGCATTTGCACTCAGGGAACACCCTCTCCTTTCCAAAGCAGCGCTCCTGGCTTACTGGGTAACCTCAGGTTTACCACGGCAGGGTCAAAGGCAGAGAGAAGCAACAGAAACTAATAATCATGGGGAAAACCAAGCAGTTACGCAAGTGTCTGTGACAGCAGCTATTTACCGGTTTGCTAAGCCCTTCCCAGTCACGGCCCCTCTGCCGGAAAATGTCAGCTTCTCCAGAAACATCCCTGCCTGCTCAGCCCAGGTTTTGTTCAGATGCAGCATCTGTAGCTGTGGATTTGCTGTACTCTGACATGCCTGGAAGCGTTTACTACTTCAGAGCTAAAAGAATAATAGAAGTTGAACAAATATTTCATGGTATTAACATAAGATGTTTAAATAGTCACAGAATATTTTATCCCACCCAGAGCAATGTGAAGAGCAGAGGATTTATGCCTATTGCTGAGCAAATACCTCCTGAGAAGTCGCATGCATCTGGGAAGCGGTTTTTGTTCTAAGGAACTGAAAGCAGAGCATGCCAGAGACCGGCGAGCGGCGGGCAGCAGTGCCGGGAGCTCTCCTGCTCTTCCCTGCCAGGGGTGGGGGATCCTGCCGAGCTGACCTCGCCGGGGCGCAGGCGGTGCCGAGCTCCCCGTGCCCACGCTGTGGGTGTGCGGAGGGGAGAGGGCACCGCTGCACCGCCGGAGCGCCCAGAGGGGCTGGCGGGGGCTGCCCCTCGCTCTGCAGGGGACGGGAGACGTGTTTGCGCTCTCCCTGCGCCCTGCAC